CATCAACTAATTCATATTCTTTTCCTCTGAGTGAGGATATGTTCCAATTTCCAACTTTAAGCTCCCACTGATGGTGTCGTTTTCATGGAGCCTTTTCTGACGTGCTGTAATGGCATCGCGCTGTCTGCCTCATCCGTTCAGAACTGGTAGCGACTCCGTTGCTGGCTGGGATCTTCGTCGTCGTTCCATCGGGCTTCTTCTGCCGTTTTGTGCTGCTACGCCCCCGGCTAGTTCTGATTGCCGTTCTTTTCGTAGTCTGCCTCCGTCCCCCAACAGCTTTTAGTAACCCAGGCGACGGCCGAGCTGGTGTAATTTTTGGATGGCGTGAATACCATGATTGACAAGTGACTAAACTTTACGGAGACTTTGCCACGGTCTCCAACCCTGCTCCTTTTTCAACCGGACTTGGGACCGGCAATGGCGGAGTTCCTACCTTCTTTAACGTATTTAATCAAGTTGATATGAGTAGGGGGTGAAACTGCTACCAGGGAGGTTTCAGTATTGAATTGAAGTCAGTCACAAATCTGCAACACGTGGGCGATTTATGGAATGCGAACCATTTTTCGCATGGCCTGGCAACACTCGATTGTTCATATTGTTCTATCTGCAATTATGTACTGCGTCCGGAGTGGCCCGGTACCCATCTTTGCCCTTTCGCCGTGGGCGTAGATGCGACAGTAGTTAGTAAGGAGTTCTAGTTTTTGCACCTCACTACATTCATGGATTGGCGATTCTTCTTGGTACGAAATATGTCTTGCAATAACAGTGATTAATTTGTGCTGCCTGTGCCGTCGTGGTAGGCTAAAAACTGGGACCTTCCTTGTTAGATCTTCCGGGAAACTTTTTTTTTGGAGCCTTACTTCTGGCCCACGATTTGATCCCCGGAGTTTTAGCCCGTTGGTTACCAGAAAAGAACTACTGGTCCGTAAAGGTTTTCGCATTTTCAATCTTATATGTGGCTCCTGACTGATTTCTTTGTTGATTTGTGGGTCAGGATCTGCCAGGACCTTTTCACAATCACGAACCGCAGTGGCATCTCGCCTGATGGAAATTGGCGCGATATTCACCAGCAGTGTTATCCAGGGTAACAGTGTTGTTTTGAGTTCCCCGCACAATGCGGAATACAGCATTTGTTTTTGTATCCCTAAAATGGACGTGTCATCTGTTGCACCACATCGTTGCGCCATAGCTGTCGGCAGCACCTAGTCATGTTTCGCTGCTCAGAGCTTACGAGCGATGCATTTTCATGATATTCTGAATGATATTGACCATAGTACTTGTTTTCATTTCCGTCTGGTAGCTCAGGTTTCGATCAGTCGTAATTCTTGGATATCATTGATTTATTCACTGGATGGAGGCACATCGCAAAGCTTCTGGCCGATTGTGGTTGTGACTTAGCGATTCTTCAAACGAAAACGGATAACAGTGACTTATATACTAGATTTCAGGAGCTTGTGCAATAAGTCTCTATCGCACGTACGTCGTCCACCATATACAATCATCTCTGCATTGTTTATCAGTGACGTTTGTTTTTCCAATCTGTATCATCTACACAGACAAATTTGCAAAATTATTTATTTGCGAGGAGCTGATGTATAGGTTAAATAATGCCGATGCCAGTAGGGATCCTTGGGAAGGTAGTTGTTTAGTTCTTTTTTGTACGTGGCTGCCAAGTCACCAAGATGAACGATAAACTTTCGACTACTGAACATTTCGGTGATAAGTCACACGGTTTTTGATATGAGAGGGCTAGCAGTTGTTTCGGCAGGAGTCCTTTGCGCCATACCGTATCGCATGCGAAGTCGCTGAAAATGCATATGTTTTTAATTTTCGTTGTTGGCAAACTTCCATATAGCTTATTCAGATCAGCATTTGATCACTGCAATTTCGAACGGGGTCTGAAATTAGCCTGCTCCTTTTGGATCAGGTTCAACAGAAGCTTTATTTTCATAACAGAAAGGCGTTCCGTCAGTTTATAGTAGCATCTGAGGATAAAGTGGTCGATTGCTTTTAGAATCAGTGACATGCTTTCCGGGTTTAACGAAGGCAATGGCTGATTTTCCTTTATTCATTTGGTGGTTTCTCTTATTTATATGCCCTGGCAGAGGTCTGACTGTCACCTTGTAGCTTTCAGACCCAGGTTGTTAGCTGGGTAAAAATTAAAGCCTGGCAGCAGCTTAGTGCGTTGTGCATTTGT